TTGTTACACAAAAAAATTATTTAAAATTAATCATAGAAAAGGTAATTCAATAGCAAAAGTACAAAATTTGTTATATCATTTCGCTTCAGCACGCAATATTGACAATCCTGCATTGAGGTAGGAATCAACCTCACACAAAACATTTATAGGAAGATAAATTTGTGACTGTTAAAGTAAAAATTAGTCGTATTTCAATAATTATTGAAGCCATAAATTATATTTCATGGCTGTATTGAGATGATCACAGTAAATTGTAGACCTTTTGAATCAATAGAAGATTCTAACTATAGAGAAGGAGAAAGAAGACACGGAAGTGAAAGTTTTGTTGAAAATTATGAAAATAATGATTTATGAAATATAATGAATGATGATTTGAATAAAATTGCCTACATCACTGGTGGTACGAATATATTATCAGGTGTCCATTGTGCAACTCAAAAACAAAAAAATCACCAATAGACTGTTTCACTATACAGGGATCTTTATCATAATTGAAGGCCTTTTAAAATATCAACATTTTTGTGAATTTATGGCACAAAATAAATATATATTTATGAATAATGAAAGTTGAAGTAAATTGAAATATCTTCATAGAGCCTGCAAAAATTGATTTTTGTCTAAAATCTATTAAAATCATTTTTTATTGGTCGGTGATGTAAAATTTATAAACATAAATTATAATAATGTAAGAATTTTATATGAACCAAATAATAACAAAAATTATTTATTTGATTATCGAACGTCAAAATAGCAATTTACAAAAATAATATACAAGATTATTTATATCAAAAAAAATATATATGTATACAGTGATAGGAAAAAATTTACAATACCAAATAATGTGGCGGTAGTGGGCGCGGTGGACACACTTTTGTTGACAAAACCCTAGTGTTAAACCATGCCTGCCGTCGTAGTGTACGGATGGGTGACCATACGTGCGTTTTACGGTGGCAAAAGCACCAAGTCCCAAGTGTAGAAGGCAACAAGAAACCACTGCACTTATCCCTTTCCTAGTAATTATCACGTATTCAATAATACGGGGAAGGCACCACACTAATAATATGTAATTTAGCATTACTGAAATAGTAACGGTAATACAAATAGGTCAATATATATATAAAGATGTTAATATAAAAATACACTTTGATACTCATATATTTATTAATATCGACGACAAATATACTTTCCAATAAAGCAAACCTCGCAATGACGAAGTAAGTTACCCGTTAAGGCGACCGTCGGAACGAAATAGAACGCATTTTGCGTAATCCATATTCGGCGGCGGCCTTGTCACGGTGTCAAGGGCGGGGAGACAACCGATGAAAACCGATTGTCATATTAATAGCTGAACAGCTGATATCAAGAGAGACACGGGTGAGCGCCAGCTTAGAGCGTAAGGCGGTGCCGTGTCATAATATCAGTTGACCTTTGGGTATCTGGTATCCAACACCCGAAAACGGATAGGAATTAAAAGAAGATGACCAAAATAATATTAAGATTTAGGTTTAAATATCCTAAAGAGACATTGTTATATAAGAAGTAGATGTGACCAAAAACTATGAATTGTTAAGGAAGCGGAACATTCTGTGTAGAGGAGTATTATTATTATAAGAGGAGCGATCAGAGGGAACATGAAAGAAAAAGTAAATTCTAGTGGCATAGGATAAAACATGAAAAGGTACAGAGGACAAAAGATCTATTGCATCAATTAAACCATTGAGGAGAGCATTGATAAAAGAAGGTCAGAGTCAACTCGTCTGGAAGCAAGAGTAGGGTTACTAAGAGTGGACCGAATGATAGAGTAACTATGTGGAAGGTAAACAATTTTAAGCCAAGTTCAATTCGAAGTTTAACGCTAGCTAAGTATGAATGCCACACAACTACACTGTATTCTAAAATGGAGTTAACGAGAGAAAAATATAGGGAACGTAAGCATAGTAGAGAAGTGAAAAGACTAGTATGACACTTCAAAAATCCTAAACATTTTAAGGCTTTGGCAACTATTATGTTAATATGAACATCAAATAATAGCGAGGGAGTCAAATGAAATTCTAAACAAGTAACTAAATACCCACGCTCTACCATGGTACTACTTAGAGAGTAGGAATAAACAAGAGGAGTATGCTTCCTGGTAAATGTCATAATGTAATATTTACTTAAATTAAATAAGGGCTAACACGATTAACCCATCAAATAAAGAATTATGATCTAATAAACAATCAAAGGAAGAAGCTATTTTTATAAAAATTTTCATGCCATATGCAAATACCAGGATTTGAGAATTAGCCTGGTAATTATTAATAGAGTTGACATAGAGAATAAACAGCAGAGGATTGAGGTGCTCATCTTGGGGGACGCCCAAAAGAACTTCAGTATGTTAGAACTAGCACCATAGTTTTCTTGAGGACTCTAGGACAGTAGGACTGTAGCCAAGAAAGTAAAGAATAACCAATACCAAGATATTTAAGCTCAGATATAAGTTGACAATGGTTACTTGTATAGAAGGTTTTTTTTAGTCAGTAAAGACAGCGTCAACTTAACAACCATTTTCGAAGCTGTCTAAAATAAAGGTTCTGAAGGACTAATTACAGGATACGGTAGATTTACCTGGTCGGAAGAGATGTTGCTCATCAATGATGATGTGGTTAATATTTCGTTTAATATTAGAATTAATAAGAGATTCAAATCTTTAGCAACATGAGGTAGAATGTTAATAGGCCTGTAATTGGAGGCAAAAGACGCGCCATTTCAGAACCATTTGAAAAATTATTTTTTAAAGAATTTAATACGGTTTAGATATTATCAAGGGAAAAAAACAATTTGAGATCAAATTATAAGAATAGGTGGTACAAATAGTGAAATCAGAGGAACAAGAAAAAGGTGTATTGTAAACAGAAGTAAAGTGGTATGATTACAGATTAGCGGATTCAGTAGGTGAGCAGAAGGTTACACTATTGTGACACTCAGATGAAGGAATGGAAGAGCATTTAAGAATTTCTTATCGATTTAAAACACATTAGATTAACAATTATATTTCAAATCGGTTAGTCTCTTATTTTATGTAAATAATTATTACGACCATCCATATGATCTTGTAAAAATATCATTGAATATTGATTAGTAGTAACCAAACATTTTTTGATGCATTCTAACTATATTGTGTAAGGCTACTAAATTTGAACTATAAAAAACTAAATACATATTGGCAACAACGAATATTCAAAAAATGTTTTTTTTATTATTGATTGTACCTCACATGGTGTAAAAAAGTAACAAATAGAATATATTAAATGCAGTATATTAATATTAATAATTAATTAAGTTCTTAATATTTCAATTGAAACATCTATTTAAATACCAAAAGTTATGTAGAAGCGATTACTATGATTTTTAATAAAATGATTTATTTCAATATTTATAAAGGAAGTAATGATTTTGACGTATTTTTGAGCTTTTCTCATAAATTTACTGTTAATAATAATTATATAAATTCTTGATCACATATTAATTTAAAAAAATACAAATTTTTAGTCTTCGTAAAATTTTCTATTTAATGAAATCAATTCTAAACTTTCAAGTTGAGCTAAAATTGTGTTTAAAAGTTCTACTTTTTTAAATTATAAACTTTCAAAAATATCAATTTAAACGGACCAAAAAATAAATTCAAAATTAAATTTTGAATCGAAATTTCACACGAATTATTTTTAATATATTAAAAATTAAAATAACTCGAAAAAATTAATTTTTTTGTTTGAAATAATTTTTTTATGGGTAAATCTAATTTCATAACATTCGTAATTTTAACTTAATTTTTTTTTTTTAACAATTAAATTCAATTTCCTTATTAATTTTAACTGTAATCTTTATTTTTATTGCGCAAGTAGCTTAAGTACTCGTGTGTATTTTATCCTTGTTCCTTAATCTAGACACGGGCTGCAGTATGTTTTATAAATCAACCATTTCAATTATCATATTTGTGGTTAATAAACCACGAAGTGTTATATTCATTTATATATGTAACGACATTTTAACTTAAATTAAACAATTAATTGTTTTAATTAATTTAACTATAAATGATCAAAAACATAAATCACAAAAAAATACAATATAAAAAAAATTTTGTGTTTTTTGTTACGTATATATCTTGAATTTCAGCTAATTATAACTTTTTAGAAACATTCCAAATAACTTCAAGGGATGTCAACTTGATTTTTCTTAATAGTAACATATGTATCTTTTTATCTATTAAAATATAAAATTATCTAATTAATATGATGACTGGTTGATAACAAATTTTGGATCAGTACTTCAGAAGTTATTAACAATTTAAAATAATGATTGGATATTGGTGCTGTTATTTTTATCTATAGTCATTTCCGCCCCTTACTATTGGTCCCGCCTAGGTATAAAAATGAGAATAACATCCAAAGTACAAAAGTTGTTATCGATCAGCCATTTCTTTATTAGATAATTTTATATCTTACAAGATAATTAGATATGTATAAGGGATTACCTAAAGTTATTATTAACTGATAATTTAAGAAATATACCAAACTAAAAAAATTAACAATTTTTTTTAATATTTTATTTATTTGGCGAGTAATAGAGTAGTTTATGATAAAGAAGCTATAATTTAATTTAAAATTATTTTTATATATTATATATTGAAAAAAATTTTTATAATTAAAAATAACTTTAATTGTTAATTGAATAAAATGTTACTAAAAAAAAGGAAGTTTTCAATTCCTAGTTACACTGACATAGATAATTCTAAAACATTTTTAATTATAAGTATCTTTTTCATTAAATATTTTATTTCTAAACATTTTAATCTCAATATTTGAGAAAACTGTAGAGCATTATAAATTTTAAGTATAAATTTTAAGTATATATTTAAATTTATAAAACAATAAATTTGATACTTATAATTATTGTTCACATTTTTTCAGTCAATATTCTTAAATAACCAATACAAAACGAATAAAGAAATTAATAACAGATTTAAATACAAAATTTCTATTCTATATTACAAGAAACAAAGCAACAAAAATATTATTATTAAAGTGGAGCACAACGGATCATTAATTCAGCAGGTAATCTTGAAGAGAGAAACTCCAATTCTTGCCTACCTCCTGGTTTCTGTAACCATCTTTTTTCTTCATAATAGTCTAACATATTATTGAATTCTATCTTATCAAGTTCTGGTACCATTATGGGGATAAATGGATCTATCAGTTGAAATCCCTAAAAGTTAATTAAAAATGTTATTATATAACCATTATTTTTAATCAGAAGTAGTAATCTATTACAGGTAATAGAATATTGACTATTAATAAATATCCAATTACCAACACTTTCGAGAATAATTTTTTTCATAAGAACTAATTACCTCTTTAAATTAACTATTTAAATATAAAATTGATAAATTGATTTCAACAATTTGGTTTGGATTAAAAATACAATTTACAGTCGAGTCATTATTAAGTGTTCATAAGATAATAGTTAAAAGCAGAGGCATACTTGAGGAGTGATATTCCTCCAGAATAAAAATGATTACACTGTGAATATACATTTTTTTTTTTTTTTTTTTTTTTTTNTTTTTTTTTTTTTTTTTTTTTTTTTTTTTTTTTAAGTGAGTAGAAAGGATACATAAGTTATTTTAGTTTTTCATCAGGACATATTAACTTTTTTTTTGTTTTTTGAAATAGTTTCATAAACCTTGAATTTTATACATAAATTGAAATTTAAAAACAACTAGGTATTTTTTAAATATTTTATTTATTTGCTTTTGAAAAACAGATAATTAAAAAAATAAAATATAAATCATACGGCATTCTCATAAATTAACATAATTATTAATATTTTGGTAAATAATAATGCATAAGTTTTCTTTTAATACATGTTTTGGTAAGCAAATATTTTATTATAACTTAAAGAATCGACAATTTGTTGATACTTTGTATTATAAAACAAAATTAATTTTGTTTCATACCATATACTAAGACGTATTTAGAAATTTTAATGGGAAGAGTAAAATAAATTTCTTTCAATTGATTATATCATTATTTTAAGTTCAATCATAAAAATAATTTCATTGTTATAATAATTTTTATGTTTAATGGTATTTTCCTTTTTTTATTTAATTTTTTCTTTTTATTATTTATCATATATTCTGTTTCTAACATTAAAATCATAACATTTTTAAGCATAATATAATACAAGTAATATATGAATTACTGATCAAATATTTTAAAAAATTTGATCAGTAATAAATTATTGTATTTCTTACTTCACGTCCAATGAGGTAAATAGGTAAGTGTGATTCTCTTCTAGTATTTAAAGATGCTCTAGGAGATGTAATCATAACTATAGCACCATTATTCTATAATATAAATAATAATAAATATGTATAAACATCATAATTTTGGTTCAAAAAATATATATATATTTACCCAATCCGACTTTACAGCTGATAAACCAGTTTGAACCATAGTAATTTGTTGGGGTTTCACTTTGACACGGTCTTCTGTTTTCAAATCAGTTTTCTCATTGAAAAAAGCATTAAACCCATCTATTGCTACTATCATTTTACACCTTTAATAAAAATATACAAAATAATTTAAAAAATTAATTTACTCTAGTCTATAATAATTAATTTAATATTTTTTAAATACTACAAATGGTATTTTGGTATTTAACATTTTAAGTTATATCAAAACACTTAGACAAACAATGATTATATTAAGTTTATTTTATAAAAGTAATACACCTGAATTGTTATGGTAATATAGCTATTGATAATTCCATTTTTAACAAAACTATATTATTTACTAGAAAAATTTATTTAAACTATCATTATTAATTTTTTATTTCTATGTCACATAACTATTAAATTCACTTCAATATTTATAACTGTATGATATAGTCTTAAGTGCGTCTTTAATAAATAAATATATTTTTAAAGTAGTCATCTACTTCATTATTCAACAAAGCGTTTTAATTAATTTTGTATGAAGTTTTTCAAACATAATAACATACTTAATTACTTATGAAAAATATTTTAAAAAAATTGAATGACTGATATACAGTAAATCATACTTATTGTTTGTACAATGCATCTTTAATTCATTTAGTAGAATATCCATAATGTCACATGCATATTTAGCTCTATTGATTCCATGAGTAATTAAATCTTTTAATGTGCTTCCTGGAGGTGTTGTCTCTCGAATACTCCAAGTATATTCTTTGCTTGTTGTAAGCTAAAAAAAGGTCAACTAATAAATGTTCTCTATAACTTTACATCAACAATTTAACACATGAAAACTATACAATGTCACAATAAAGTATAATAGAATTATCAACATATAAACATATAACAATACCCAAATAGAAGTTTTATGTAATAAATTATTCATTGTATACTAAGGTTTTTCAATTCTTAATAACATTAAATAATATGTGTACCACATAAAAATGTTTGTTGCTTTTAGTATAATGTAAAAATTAATTATGAATTAATCTTAAAATTTTTCTTCAATGTCTATATGAAAATTTATAATATCCGATTTATTTATTATAAAATATTATTAATTTAATGCATTAAAAATTTTACATTTTTCAAAATAAAATAATTTCTATAGTTAAATACTTCATTTAATATCTCATTGTACTTAAATTGAAGATCCTTCTTGAATATAATCACAAAATATAATTGTAAATGTAAATAACTTTGCAAAAATTCTAAATATAAAAAATATAATGTTTTTTAACATAAGTCTTATGACAAAAGTATAGTTTAAAAAAAAACCAGTTGACAATTATGAGATATTTTATTATTTTTACATACATTAAGTTCTTGTAATATGGTTTCATTTTGATGGAGGAAATGTTTTAACCACTGCGCTGCAACTAATGGTATATCAGCAAAGCCTTCTTTAGTTGAAGACCAGGTAACTTCTTTTCGATCATACTTCAACCAGATTGGTACTAAAATTAAACTAATTTTTATTTTATATATTAAGATAAAAATTGTAGTATACTCTTAAGCCTATTACAGTGTATACCCTTTTTTTAAAATGCTTTTATTAGCTTCACCTGTATGTTTGTCTGTATGTTTATTATTAGATATAAACATTTAAAGGTTCAAATTTTTTTAAGTTAATATACATATATAATATATAAGGGATTACAAATACTGGTAGCTAATTGATTTGTTATGACAATATTCACAAGTACATAGCCTTTATTATCAATGGTAGTAAGACACATTGTTGTGAGTTTATAAATACACTAACTGGCAATAGAGAAATTATATCTATTCATAGTCATAATTAACAATAAACACTCTGTGATTGTGGCAGCAATGTTATAAAAAACTAAAAAGTGAAAAATAAATATAGTTTAAAAAAACACGTTTTTAAAGCATATAAAACTAAAAAGTTAAAAATAATTTTTAAAATAAGCTTAAAACAATATTGTATATATATGAAAAATACAAGTATTATAGTGAAAAAAGTGTCGGGGGCTCTATATATGAAAAATATGGCACAAAGCGATCACACTTTTTTCACAATAATACTAGTATTTTTCATTCATTATTGTTTTAAGCTTACTTAAAAAATTATTTTTAACTTTTTAGTTTTAAGTGCTTTAAAAACGTGTTTTTTTAAACTATGTTAATTTTTCACTTTTTTTATTAAAAAACTCTTTTGTGCTAATTTAGAATATATAAACATTTTTTAATAGAAAATAAAAGTTCAAAATAACAGCAATTTAAATTTCATCAAATTACAACGGTGTTCAAATATCCCAGGGGCAATTAAATATATATTATTAATGAAAAATGATATCATAAAATTACCATATGGAATATGAAATAGTATAAACTTAGCAGTATGTGCATAGTGAAGAATATGGGCAAGACTAAGAGATTTTCCACTTCCAGTTTTACCATCTGTTATATAATATTTTAAGAAAATATATTCAATAAATGAATATGCTTGTATATAAGCCTTTGTTAGAATACTTTCAAATAAGACAAGATTTATTTTATATAATATCAATATCACTATATTGAAATGAATTATTATAACTAGTAATTATTATTAAGTAAATTAATATAGGAAGGGTGGTTAATATGGAATATATTGTTAATATAAAATTTTTTTCATATTATGTTACAGTTTTTTTGTGGAATTAGAAACTGAAATTATTTATACTTATAATCATAAGATAAAAATGTTTTAAATTAAAGTAATTGTATTATTAACAATGCATCATTTGAAATTGTAATCATGAAAACTTTTAATATTGTTATTTAAATAAAATGTGTAATTTTTAGTTGGGTGTAGATATGAACATATTTAAATTGCACTAATTTTTATTTTATGAGATATATAAACCATATCTTTTCTTATATTAATAACACAATTAAAAATAATGAAAATATAGGGTAATTGTAAAATGAAAATGATTTGTTAGACTACAAAATTAAACTATGAAAAAATTGATTATTATCTCAAAAAGGATACACATTAGATAGCGAACAGCTGGTTTTTCATAGTTAGCAATTTTTAAGTTGTTGATAACTTCTAAAGCTGGTTTACGGATCATCAAAGCTGTTTCGGCAAATACTTGAGTCTGTTCTACAAATGGTTTTGGTAGACCGCCTGATTGAAATATTTTACTAACTGTTTTTGGTTCAATTGTATAGAACTTGGATACATCATTTTGATTATGATCAATCTAATATTATTAATTATCCATTATTCTTTAACATTATTTTTGAAAAGCTATTATTGTATTAAAAAGAATAAGAAATTCTACATAGCTCAACAAAACGGAATCAAACTCTAGTAATTACACAATGAGGTACAATACATTCCCGGCTGAGCTAAGTAGACTATCTATATTAATAGGATATAAATTCATTAAGAAATTTAATTGAAGTATTATTCTCAATAATAATATTGTAATACTTATTAATAATAGTTTAAATAATTAATGGTAGAAATTAAAAAGTGATAATTGTACTTAACCAACCGGATTGGATTTGAGGGAACGCACAGCTATTGGTATTTGATATTGTACATCTTGTTTTACAGCAGAAGTGGCATACCCACATATACGACGATACAATTTCATAATGATTTTTAGTTATCCAATAATTTTAATTAAAAGATAATTTTTAAATACACAAAATCGTAAGAGAATTCTTGGATAAAAATAACCCTAATAAAATTTTTGTTATTGGATTTTCAAATTTAGTCGATTATTATCATAAGGGCATTTCATTTATCAGTAATTTTATATATTGATAGTGTAATCATTTAATACATATTAATATTTTAAGCTAATTTAAAGAGTATTATTACTCTATGAGCTAAATATTTGAAAGTATATAATTGTTTTCAATAATTAAACTGGGTGATTAAAATTTAAATTTCGATTGCATTGATTTAATAATAATGCGGTTAATGTAGAACTGATAATATTATACATTTTATTTAAATAACTTTAGTGTTTTTATATTGATAATTACAGATTGTGCGGCAGTTGGTATGATTGTAAATACAGTACAAAATTAAGTAGGGATATCAATATTTTTGCCCCTCCTTGCAAATTTAGATTAAAATTATTCAAAAATCAAATTATTGTTTGTATTTTAAATTCTAGCCGTATGTGTGAATGCTATGGCTCAACTTCGTTTGTTACATTTAAAAGTTTTGGCTTTTACGTGTAAATTTATTTATGTTATTTCATAATTATGTGAATTTTACTATTATTTCTATCTAACAAACTTAAATTAACACCAAAAAATGTAAGTACTCTTAAAATTAATTATAGTTTTACTGTATAATCTACATTTAAGTTTTAAAAAGTTTAAATTAAAAATGTAAAAGTGGTGCTCATATAAATTGTATTAAATTGTATTTATTAAGATAAATTTGTTGATTTCTGTTTAATTTATCTGGATATAGAAAATTGATTTTTTTCTCTTAACTGGTATATTAATGCTATTAAACTTTTACTATATAGTATGAAGTTGATGATTTTTTAATCTTCTAGCAATTAATAAATTAGATAAATAGTATTAAAATAAGGCATAACTAAGTTGGAATATTGGAATGAACTCCCTCAAAATGCAGTTAAAATTATTAATTTTATTTTGAGTTATAACAATTGTAATGAAAAATATATGATCACGTATGGCTAATATTATTTAAAACAATAAGAGTAGTTGTTTTATTTATTAAAAAACCACATAAATTTTTTTATAATATTATAATGTTATCTAAATTAAAAGAATATTTTTAAGTAATTTTTTATTAATTTTAAGTAATGTATAAATTTTTGACATCAGAGTATTAAAAATTAAAAGCTTACATTTATTTATATTTTTATAAATAATGTCCCCAACAGTGGTCCAAATTTTATCATTTTAAAATTTCTTGTATAGCAAACAAATATGCATATAAGGAATCGAATGAACTAGAACATATCCTGCATTGTAAACATTTTCAAAAATAAACCTTGCTGTTTTATAGAACACTATGTAATATAATATAATATTTTCTGTTAATAACTGATATTTTGTATAATATTAATAATCTAATAATTCTAATAATTCAGAAATACCATAAAATTTTTATAAATTTATATTTAAAGCATGATTTAATAATATTTCTTGACAATTCATATTAATATTAGTTATAAATTGCATTTTATCTATACATTTTCAAAATGTATTTTTGCTTGGATTTTATGTCCAAATACGATTCTTATGACTGCACCAAGTTGATTTTTTCCTGTTTCTTACAGGACAATTTCTGTGATAAATCTAGTCGAAAAACCATTAATATTTAAGAAAAATTATGTTGTATACATTTAATAATAATGAATTCCAAAGAAAGAGCTCGTAATAGATGGAAACTTCTAGCAAATACAGTTAGTAAAAATAATCAAGACAATGTGATTATACCTAGTATAAGCTATAATTTATTTAATGTTGAGTCCATAAATACAGAATGGTACAAGTACTCTGCTTGTATTCAAGGCAAAGAATTTGCAGCAAATATCTGCCAATTTTCTTTAAATGTTACCCCTGAAAAACTCATGGGCTTTAATAATACAGGAAATGTAAAAATCTGGCCATCTGAAGAAATATTAGCTTATTATGTGTTATCAAATTTGGATTTATTTCGTAATAAAAGTATTATAGAACTGGGTGGTGGTATGAGTTGTTTAGCTGGCATAATGGCAGCTCTGTATGGCCAATGTAATGATGTTCACTTGACTGATGGAAATATAAATTCTGTTTACAACGTCAACCGTATACTTGAAAAAAATGTATTTACTTCAAATGTATCATGTTCGGTTAGTTAAAAGTAAAATATATGATTTTTTAACATTTCTTCAATGCACATTGTTGGTTTTGTTATTATATTTGATATGCATGTTTTTATAATTTTAATCAATGTAATGTTGATCAAGTTTTTTTTTTTTTTTGTTATTATGTAATCAAGTTAATATTAGAGGAGCTATTATAACTCCTAGTTATAGTTTTATTGAACTTTAAAAGTACCTTAATATTTATTACCAAGTAATTTATCAAGTACCTAATAATATTTTGTTATTTAATGTAGTTAATTTAAACATAACTTTTTGTTGTATCTGTTTTTTTAAATTTTGTTTTTGCAAATAAATGTTTATAAAATCATAAGCATGCTCTTCCAAATATTCTAAAATATCAATAGATATTTTATAATTAGGAGTAATATTTATGTTTAAATGAATGGTATTGTTTACCTATCAGGTTTTAAAATGGAATCAAAAACCTGCAAGCATTCGTCGTTATGATGTGGTGTTAGCAGCTGATTGTCTGTTTTTTGATGAGGCAAGAGATGATCTGGTCCGTACTATATCATCCATTTTAGCTTATGGTGGTACAGCACTAGTTGCAGCTCCAAAACGTGGAAATACATTATATGAGTTCATAGAAATGGCTCAACAAGAAGAGTTGCACTGTGTTGTACAACAAAACTACAATACTATAGTATGGGAACGTCATTCCAAACAGGTTTTATACAATAAAATGTATGATGTTGATTCCGATTACCCTTATTTAATTTTTATGACTAAACAAATGAAAGTTATTGATTGTTTTTTCCAATAAAACAATATTTTGTTTATTTCTTATTAGTAAATCCCTCATATATTATTATTACCATTGTATCAACCAACAAACTAAATAAAATGCTATAAATTTTGCTGGTAATAATTTTTTTACAATTTTCATTCTAAAATTCTATTATGAACTATTTGATATATTTATTATTTTGATTCTAAATTATACCTTTTACAATAATACTCTATTAGAACTTTTTTTATTATCAAAAGTCATAATTTCATTGGGATCATTTTATAACTGTAGATAATACTTTTTTACTTAATTATCATTAGTTTCTTCTCAAAGTTTTAATATTTATTGCTTAATTTTATATGACCCAACATTTCCTTTATTTAGATGACAAAGTAAACACTTTGCTTAAATTAGAGTTCCTTAATTTCAATAAATCTGTATAATTTGATCAGGGTGTGCATAAATAAAAAATTCTTATTTAAGTTTCAAAGTTTATATTATTACTATTTCCAGTCAGTAATGACAATACTGATATTCTATTAAATATTTATTCTATCAAGATAAATGTTATTTATCTACACTAATAGTCTGAATTTTCACTTATCAAATTTCCTGACTAGTTTACTAAAAGATAAATCACTTTTGTCTTTGTTCACATTTAAATATTGATTGAAATTGACAAAAATTTTACAATTAGTTATTATTAGTTTGAATAATTTTTTTTAATTTCTATTTATCACTTATTCTTTATGATTTGTATGTTAAATATTATGCTGAACTAAATTTAATTATATATAAGTAACCAATATTACTATAAATTAATGTAAGTAACAAATTACACTAAAATTATTTTGTGCTTCATAAATTAAAGTTGAAACTTATATGCTCAATTCACAATACATTCTGACATCCAACCTACTCTTAAAAAAAATACAGTGCCATGTATGAACCTTCAAGATCAATACAAAAATCAATGACATTTTAAAAACTCCTTTAAGATTTGTTCTGAAATACATTAAACAATAGCTTTTTTTAATTTATTTTCTTTCTATTTTATAATCATTTTTAATTTTAATTCATATATTTATTATTAAAGATATTTATGTAAAAAATTCTAAATATACTTGAAAGATATTCATAGACATTTTTTTATTACTCATCATAAATTTGCCTGAGTAGGCAGTATTAAATTGGCATCTTTGAAATTTAACTTTAGAGCATTTGTTAAATTAAAATCATTAAATTTAATAATTGATTAACTCTAATTTGATGTAGACCAGATCTCCAATTACATTTATTTGAGTTATTTGAAGCTTAAGAGAAAACTGTAAGTAGCGAACTAAATTTTTGATAGGTAGCTTAAACCCAATTTACAGTACTCAACTCAGGCTATTTAAACAAAAAAAATATTTTCATGTATAAAATTGTTATTTGAAATAAGCAGTTTCTTATACTAATTTTCACCGAAAATTATCAAATGATCAAATTTATAGATCATCTTTTTCAAATATTTTAACGTATAGTTTTTGAATTTTAAATTTTAATTAAATCTTGCCTTGCTGTAAGACGTATTTTTTGTATCCTCTTATTAGATCATAAATTATACTTATCAGTCTTGAGTAAATCATTTTTTTTTTTTTTGTTGATAATTTCATGTTTAAAAATGTTAAAATTTACAGTAAAATGATTATTTAATTTTGATTAATATTTTTTTACACTGTTTTATGGCTTATGAAAACCATTGCGGCTACCTTCAAAAAGTTTTATTAACTTTATATACACCAGGTTATTTTGTCGACGGAGGGATGGGAATTCCAGTTATTGAGCTGATTTTCGCTCATCTATCGAAGAGTCTCGTGATCGAGCTTAAAACCTGTGTACTCATCACGAACTAAATAATTAAAATTCATTAAAAAAATAAAATAATAGTGTCAGACATTTTTTTAAAAAAATCAAAATTTGTATGTATATTTTTATAAATATAAATAATATATAACTATATAGAGTGTTCAGTAAGTAAGAAAGGTTCCTATTGTTCTTATTGTTTGTAACATTGGTCTATTTCATTACTTTTTGAACATCTGTATAATAATAATTATATTTTTGTATATCAATTGAGGTTTTTTTTTATCAAGGAGTTGGTACCGAGTAATTTTCCTTGTGTACTATGCTGAATTCGCTTTTTATTATAAAATTACTCATTTATAATTGTTAATTCCATTTTAAAAATTGTCTAAAATTTGAATGTGGTCACCAAGTATTTAAATGTCCTTAAATTATTTTTTTATCATATTCGTAACATTACCAACACATTAGATTAATTTATCTGTTGTTTTGCGTATCCTAATGAAACAGTGAGTTTTATTTTTAATGTAGTGATATTTTCTAAATTAGCATTATATATTTGCTTGTGGAGCTTATTGATACATTTTTAATTCAAAAATATATTGTGATTTTCTATTATGTATTAACTAAATACGAATTTTAGAATTATAATAAAACACCAAATTTATTATTACTGAATTCATCATGTATTTATGTATATTCTGAGTTCTACAATTTTTTAAAGTTTTTATCTTGTTAAAAATTTTAAATCTAGGGTCCAATATGATTAAACAACAAACATGGTTAAACTAGTAATGTTAAACATCTGTTTAGACTACTTTATATATTTTTATTAAATTAGCATTAGTAATTTTTAAAAGACAATTGACATATTAGTTATAAATTTTTAATGGTTTTTAGGTTATTATTTGTGAGATTAATAAAACTATCACCTAAAATGTATACACATTTAAACAATTGTCTAATAAATTTTTAATTCATTTATTATTAGTTTAATATATTTAATTAAATTCCTTGTTATGTACTATATACAGAGTTTTCAGTAAGTAAAGAAACGCGTCAATTGTTACAGACATTAGACCTGTTTCTCTTACTTACTGAACTTGTATAATATGTACAATTACATGATATTTTTTAAAATTCCACAAAGTGGGCTTTAAATATTTACCATATTGTCTGAGATCTTGCACTAACTTTAAGTGTCCTATATTTATTTTTATTGTTATTATTACGTCTTGTTATAGTATATAAATATATAAATAGTTTAAATTGTTTGTGAATGTTTAAAAAATGTTTTATTATTATTATTTAAATAAATAAAAAATTTTGTTGTAGATGTCATTTTTTATTTATTTTACTTGATTTTCTATAATTATAAACCATAAAGAATAAAAAAATTAATTTTATAAAATATCTGTCTAAATGAAAAGTTGAAGTTCAAACTCAATTTACAAACATTTTTAAACTAAAGTATCACTTTAAAGTAGTCTTTTAGGTCTCTTGAAATTCAAGTTTGAACTATCATTTTCATTTAATAATGAGCATTTAAATCCAATATTTATTATCATTCAATAAGTGATTCGTGTTTTTTATTTTGGTTAAAATTTTTGTTCGTGTAAATGATAATACAATAAGTAAATTGGGGTTTAATAGAAATTCAAATTTTTGGTATTATGTAACTCCTTTGATTTAAAATGAAGAATCTAAGTATAAAGTAAGTGTGGTCTTTGGTACATAATGAATTTAATACACAATAAACGACTGATTTTTAAACAATTGAAATTATCAGTGTTGTTAAACTATATTTGGTTTAAAATGAACAATAATAAGTAATAACAATCCGGTATCATGATTTTTTTTTAATATGCTTATCTTACTCATTAGAGGTTTATTGCATTTTGTGAGTTTTAATATCTCATTTATGTGTTGTAATTAAAAAATAATAATTTAACTTAAATAAATTATTAAGATTTAAAATTGAACATTCTTAGGATTAACATTACTGTGTAATTTAAATACAAAAAATAATTCTTTTGATATTTTGATTTTATCATCTGTGTGTAATTGTGCATTTCGAATACATTTTCCTTTAGTTTTAAGAGTACGTTATAAATTGATAATTTTATTAAGCGTTCATAATTGATTGTACATTTTGCACGTGCACCTTACTTAATTAAATATTTGAACTCATTTTTATTTATTTGACTTAATTATTAGATGGAAGTGGAAGCTTTATGCATAGTATTTTTAGTGTTCTTAATTTATTTTCCTATATTAAAATGTTTCTTTCTTAATAAATTATTCAAAAATGAATTTTCAATTCCTTATATTCTAAGATACTATTTTATTATATGATTATTATTTTAGCGAGTATACAAATGTGCACCACTTTTATATTATTAAAAAAAATTATAAATTGGCTAAAAAAAAAATTAATTTAATCCTAAAAACAAGGACACAATAATAGGGAGATTTGCTGACATTAAAATATCGCAGTTATCTCATTTTTAAAACATTGTAATAATAGATAAGTTTATGCATTGACTGGAATAAATATATGCATGTTTTAAATACAATAATGCTACCTATTCCAATAGGAAGCAATTGTAACCAATATAATTTCCATGAGCATTTAATCCTTATATATTCATAAAATTATATTTATTGTTACAAAATTAAGGACAGATTAAAAATAGCGTATAAATGTTTTTTTTTACACAAAGGTTTTCGTGATATTGATTGTGATTTTCATAATATCAAATGAAGACTAATTTACATAATTTTATTTTTCGGATGGTAGTACGTCGATAACTATCAGTAGAAGAACTATGTTTTCACTATGACCTCTACCCAAGAAGTCAGTGTGAGCTCTGATATGCTGACAAATATATTTAAATTAAATCTAATTTTTTTAAATATATTTATATTGTTAGCTATATCTAATCGTATGTAATACTTGTATCGTATGAATTATTTTTAAAATAAAAAAAGTTTTATATTTCCTTTTTATTTTTTAGTCTAGTTGTGCTTTTGTATGTTATACACAGTGTTCAGTAAGTAATGTGACAGGTTAGTTGTTACAAACAATGAGAACAATAGAAAACCTTTT